GCTCATCCTTTAGACTTGTTCCATGCTCCATTCTAACTCTAGAACTTTGTTGCATGTAAAACCTGTCAATACATCAAAGCTAATAGACAAAAGTTAAAGTCCCTATGGGTTTGCTTAGGTTCCTTGAGTCATCATCAAAACTTAAGATCAACAATATTTCATATGTTAGTTTAGTTTAAATATTTTTAAATAAATCATTTGCATAATCACATGTCTAGATACCCGTTCAAGGAATACACATTAGGAGAATGTTGAATAGTCCCCGGTTGGGACTGCCCTTGAACGTTTATTCTCACTTAGGTGGTGAATGTATTCCTTTTTTTTAACTCTAAGGAATATCCTTGCTTATCATTTCTCTACAATGTTCTCTGGGTACATATATAGGTGTTTCTAATCGCCTACATCGTGTACTTGAAGAACGTACTGTAGGAAATTGCTGCCCGATTTTCCATAGATATGAAATCCAGGCGTATTCACTAGTGAGATTAAACATTCAAGGATGGGTTAGGTTGGAGTGATAAGGGCCCTTGGATATCATTTCTAATCTCATTTGCATTTCCGTAACACTTTGATCGATAATGACTATATATTGTGCTTTGTGACCAATGTGATTAATGGCATATGCGTGTGATAAGCCTTCTTATCATGGGTTGAGAGAAGCATTTTAGGGTGTTTTGATGCTTTATATGTACTTTTGTTAGCTTTTGTGAGTTTTGGGCTGTGATCTCACTTATGTGCAAAAGGCGGGATTTATGAGTATAAGTGAGTGAGTGAGCTCGGGAACCAATGAAGAGTTATGTAAGAAGGATGGACCTTGGCTCGTGATTTGAGAGTTGTGATGGAGCATGGAAGAGCAAGGAAGAAAGCTTGAGGAAAAGGTGAAGCAAAGCAAGAAGAAGAAGCAAGGAAAGAAGGCGAAAACAGCAGGAACCGCTGCCAGGGCCGCTGCAGCTGGCCAGAGCCGCTGGCAGCGGGTATACCAGAGTGAGGGGCTGCCAGAGTAGCTGCCAGCGGGTCCAGAGCAGCTGCAGCGGCTCTGGCAGAAATTCGGGCTGTTTTGGTTAAATTTCAGCAATTTGGCTTTGTTTTGGCTCGTGTTTTGGATATTATTTTATTATTATTATTGTGTTATGTTATTAAATTATAGAAACATATAAATAGCTTAGTTTTTAATTAAGTTTGAAGTTAGAAAAGGAGAATTAAGTTTTGAGAAAAAAAAAGCTTTCTAGGGTTTTCTTGGAATTTTCAGAATTCTTTGTTTTGGAATTAGAATCCATGGAAGCTTAATCTTCCGGATTCTTGGTTAAAGATTGAAGCTTTTAGCTACGAATTGTGAGATCTTTCTTCTCTTAATATCTATTGAATATATATTGTTCCTTGAATTAATTTCATGATTTGCTTTAATCAATTGCTAGGTTAGAATTATTGGATTCGCTTGCATCTAATTAATCTTTCCAAAGTAGCAACTTTAGGTTATTGATGCATGCTTTTGGTTGATAACTTGAAGAGGGAATAATATTATTGAAGAAATTAGACCGCTTGTGTTAATTTATTCAATCCTTGTTGATTTCTCCGTTTATTTTCTTCTTGTGGATAATTTAGAGCGCTTGTCTTGAATTGTGCATTGGAAAGGGTTAG